GCCTGCTCTATGATTTCACTGCTAACAAGGAGCAAGTAGGACACAGTACTTCACTGTACCCAGCCAGGATGTCACAAAATTGTTGCTAACCTCTCACAACACTCCTATGAGGCACGCTTACCCCCAGCTGACAGGGGGGCGCCGCCGCAGGGTGCTCGGTCTGCCGCAAGCCCCCACAAAGCAGTGGCAGGGGTGAGTCTGGGACTCCTGCGTCCCCCTCTTCCACGCTGACATCAGCCTGACAACACAATAGAGTCCACACCCACACGGAACACCAGGAGGGTCCGTCTCTTTTTCAGAGTCTGTGCAGGTTGTAATTCCCCAACAACAGAGCCAAAGCTCGGGGTTCACAGCCACGGGCTCAGGCCTAGTTCTCTTCATCAACTGCAAAGCCGCGGCCACACCGGACACCCTGTTAGCGTCTGTCTCGGAGAACATTTCCCTTAGGCCACGAGGCCGCTGGGAAGGACAGCGCTTGGCTCACTCTGAAAACAGGGAGATCAGAGCTGGGAACCATCTCTACCCTATGTATCACCTGCCTTCTGAAACCATAGGGCAAGTCCTGCAAATAAAGGCAAAATTGAAGGAGGCAGGGCTCTAGCAACAACAGTAATAGCTGACCCGCCGTGAATCCTTGTTCTGTAACACCTGACGGGCCATGGAATACACACAGCCCTGCACGATGGGTATTATTATTTTACACAGGAGAAAACCGAGGCTCAGAGTTGTTTAAAAACAGTAGGTCAAGGACACACAGCAAGGTAGCAGAAGAACCGAAGATAATCCCAGTGATCTGGTGATAGTCCACACTCAGGATCGTACCGCCTCACCTCTGACTGGTGCAGCCAATAAGCAATCAACCCGCTTTCCCAACATCTGTTGGTCTCACCAGGGCCTTCATAATCACCTGAGGGAACAAGCACTCACAAACCTGGATCCGAGTTCTCCGGAAAGGATCCAATCAACCAGCTGTTGTAGCATTTCCCACACACCTCAGTCTCTAAACTTTCAACTAAACAAGACCTTCTACTTGCAGCTCTCTCCTTTCGTATCACGCTAGGGTAAGTACATGCCTATACAGATAGTTCTAGTAACAAATGCCTCAAAACACCACCTGACATGTCCTCAAAACCACTCCACAGGGTTCCATTTATGGTATTTTCTCTTCCTTTTCTACCCACCCCCTAACATCCCAGATCTATAAACGCTCACTATTCAGGGGAAAGAAACAAAGACCAAAACAGAAGCTTGGACTGTAACAAAACTCCAGATATATACAGAGGTGAGAACATCTGTTCCATGACCCTTTTTTTTTTTAAGGTTTTTTTTTTATTTATTTCTAGAGAGAGAGGGAGTCACAGACTGAAACAGGCTCCAGGCTCTGAGCTGGCAGTCAGCACAGAGCCCAACGCGGGGCTCGAACCCACGAACCGTGAGATCATGACCCAAGCGAAAGTCAGACGCTCAACCGACTAAGCCACCCAGGCGCCCCATGACCCTTAACTGAAAGTCTCAAGATGAGGAAATCAGGCCATCCTTCAACTTGCCTCACAGGTTCTCTCTCAAAGGCTGGGTTGTGGGCACCTCGGTTCCCCATTCCTGCAGAGGCTTCAGACAGGGCTATGGGTAAGCAGTGGGTAGGAGGGGACCTGTCACTGGCTGGGGATGGGGGGGGGGGGCGCCTTGCAAGTCCCGGGTACCCTCGGGGCGGCTGTGGAGAGCCAATGCACAAGGAGCTGGAGGATCATGTGGGTCCCAAGGTCAGGCTGCTTAAAGAGAGAGGGCTCTGTGGTGTGTATCCCCACAGAACACCTTGGGGCACAAGACCCACATCCCCATTCACAGAGAGCTAGTGGTCTGAGTATTGGGGGCACTCTTTTTCTCTGCTGTGTGTCGCCCACACATTCGGCACTCCATCTGTGTTGTACAGCAAGGGTAGGAAACTCGCAAGTTCTGTGTAATAAGCACAGCAGGCAGGGTGTGGGGGAAATGATAACATGCCGTGTATTTTTCTGACATAGAAACACTGCAGAGGAAACAAGACTCTTCATTCCCTCAAGTGAGTATATGCTTTCCCAATTTTTTTGGACAAGAGCCTCTCAACCGTTATCCCCTTCTGGACAGACACACAAAGCCTGCACGCTTCAGGAAGTAGCGGAGGCCAAGGGAACAGGGGCGCACAACTCTGCTCCAGAACTGCCTTTGGGAATTCCCGGGGGCAGAACATGTGAAATCTCCCAATTTTCTTTTTTTTTTTTTTAATTGTTTAATGTCTTTATTTTATTTTGAGAGACAGAGACAGAGAGCAAGCAGGGGAGGGGCACAGAGAGAGGGAGACACAGAATCGGAAACAGGCTCCAGGCTCTGAGCTAGCTGTCAGCACAGAGCCCGATGCGGGGCTCGAACCCACGGACTGTGAGATCATGACCTGAGCGGAAGTCGGACGCTTAACTGACTGAGCCACACAAGCGCCCCAGTGACATCTCCCAATTTTCAACACCGGTTCAGTTTTGTTTTGTTTTTTTGTTTTTACTTTCTGCTGGCAAACCATGTTGGTTGCATGCGGCCCAGGCAGTTGAATGTGGTGAAAAGGCAGTTTGCCTAGACTGACTAACCAACTCTTGGTGTGTAGCTCAGTCATCTGCAAAAGGCAGTGTGGACAGCATGGAGGCTGGAGAATCATGTAAATGATTTGAGTTTGAACCCTGGCTCTGCTTTTATTAGCTGCAAGACCTCAAATCCACTATTAACCTCACTTAGCTACAATTCCATCTGCAAAATGGTCTGATGGGAGATTTGTGAGAATTGAAAACACGTGTGGGTGAAGACAACCATGACCTCTTCATAAAGGTCAAATTTCCTTCCCCCATAACTCTAAAGAAACAACTTAGCCAAGTCTTAGCTTCTTCAGATTTCATTGCTTTCATCTGTTAGAAACGAGAATAATCCTCCAGCACCGAGGCTCTACCTCACAGGATGGGATGAAGCGGTGCAGATAAATGCAGGGTGCTTACAACTTAGAAAAGTATGATTGCCTTGACTGCCAACACCCTTTCCTCTCATTTCAAGGCCAACAAAGCAGCAATCTGCTTTCCTAATGTGTTTATCCCCTCTTCCATAACGTGCTGTGGGGAGAAAATGGAGTCACAGTTGTGATAATTCCCTAAAGCGGCTATTAGCAATCAACTCCCCAGGGTCCAATCCCACAATCCTTACACAGAGGCAAGGAAACATTAGGTCACTGCCTGGTCACTTAAGGGCCCAGCAAATCTGTTTTCTCTCTCCATGCTCTTGTTTTAGAGAACTGAGGCAGAAAATAAAGTCACTTAACAGCTGCAATGTTTCTTTTACTCACACAAAGAAAATTGAGCCACAGTCCAAACAACTTCACTGAAGTACCATTGCTCTGACATTTTCCAAACGTAAGGGGATTTTTGTCAATTCTCTTATTTTCCACACCCTCTGACAAAACTGGGACATGTGGCATTTCCTCAACTGACTGATTTAAAGCATCTTTACAACTTCTTTTACACTAGTGGGACTATACCAGCAAGAGAAAGAGAGAGAAAGAGAGAGACAGAACACAAAGTGGGGAGGGGCAGTGAGAGAGGGAGACACAGAATCTGAAGCAGGCTCCAGGCTCTGAGCTGTCAGCACAGAGCCTGATGCAGGGCTTGAACTCACAAACCGTGAGATCATAACCTGAGCCGAACTCAGACACCCAACCGACTGAGCTCCCCAGGTGCCCCAACACTTCAACTTTCAACTATTACAGATAGGTTTTCTCTTAAAAGCAAAGAGGCATTAAAATCAGTTCCACTGAAGCTACTAAGGAGTTTTATCTTTCAGGAGTATGCCTCTCCCCACCCCAAACTTTAAAAGCTCCCTCATGCAATTGCCACATTGCCAAATTACCAATCAAGTATGAGAGAATGAGCCAGTAATAATGATAAATCTAGAGAAAATAAATGACCAAGTTGGATGAATATATAGATATTACTCTCCCCACCCCACCGCCCATCCCTCTTCTTAAAAGCAAGCTTCTTGGAAAGGAAAAAGAACACTACAGAAGGTTTTACAAGTCATTTCTTTGCTAAATACATGTTACGATGCCTGACAAACAGGGCAAACAGGTGAAAATGACAATACAAACAGGAAAGATCTCTTTCAGGCAATAAGTAGATCTCCACTTACCTTGTGATTTGTTTTTATAACGAACACTTTTTACTGATGCATACTATGCTTCCAGAAGTATACACAAATCTTAAATGGATAAGGATTATATTTACTACTCTGAGTTCTGTTTCTTGAAGTATATAACTTGGAAAGGATTTGGGTAGCTCAGAAAAATTGCTAATACATTTTACACAACCTGTTTGTCTGGACACAACTCAACCCCCAGGCTTGCTAATACCTTTTGTATAAAAAGGGCTGACCCAGCATCCACCTGCATCAACTTGATCCCCTCAATTCTGTTGCACTCAGCAAACACCCTATGCCTTCTGAGCCAAATAAAGCAGCACCCCACGAGAGAGAAAAAGAAGTTTTATGGGTCTGAAGAGGCAGGTTTTACACCTGCTTTACAAAGAGTGAGGGTCTGTGGAAGGCCTTGAATCTAGAAAACACTAGCAGTGCCTTCCAAACCTACCGTCAGGAGAGAAAAAAAACAAAAAGAAAAGCTCCACTGGCAGTGGTGGTGGTGTCACTTTTAAAGGAAAATGCCAAACCTAGGAAAGTAGAGACAACAGAGTAAGGAATTCCATACCGCACCCGTCATCCCGCTTCAACGATTAACAACTCACAGCCAATCTGCTTTGGAGCTCCCCCTCACATTTCCACTAGCAGTGTTCCCCCAAAGTGGTTTATTTTGAAGCAAATCCTCCACCTGCATTTCAACTTCAGTATGTATTCCTAAATGTTTTTTTTTTTTTACAACCACAATCTTAAGACTATTACCCAAAATAACTGAACAAAACTAATATTTATTACAATCAACTAACCAGTACAAATTTCTTTCGCTGGCTCAACTTTTCATGAACTTCTCCCCTTCAAATCAGGATCCAGCCAGCGTTCGCACACACTGCACTGCTGTGTCACGTCTCTTCAACAGTGTTTAAACCTCATCCCCTTCCCCGTGATTCTCACAGCAGCCGCGCTGATCCCCAGTGGCAAATTCCCAATAACTCGACTCTGGGGATACCACACAGAGACTCCAGTCTTAGAGGTTTGTTAACAAAAGTCAGACACGTATATTAAGCAGTCGTTTTTGTAATTAAAGAAGTTTAAAAAAATAATAATCTGAAAAGCACAAGCGAAACGATTAGACTTGAAGCGATTAGCAATTCTCAAGGCCACTCAAGCACGCGCGTCCTTTGCAATTCTGATCCGTGAGAGTTTATTTCTGAGGTTTCAACATACCCCCACCTTACCCGAGTCTTTTGCAAACGGTGGGGCGGAGAGAGCCGGTTTCCTCCCAGCAGGACCTTCCTCAGCCGGCTGGGTCCCGGCGGTCGCCTCCGGAATTCAGGGGTTGGACCCAGCCGCCACCTCCCAGGGCCACCTGCCCAGGTGAGAAAAAGGGAGCTTCAGCTGACGAGTTACGGAGGGCAGGCCCAGGTCATCTAGAAAGAATTCTGAGCCAGCCAGGATAGAGGCACCAACCAAGACACCACGGTCTCGTAGAAGAAACAGCTCTGGAAAATCTTGGGGCTTAATCCCAGCACCCGCGCGCGGGGGCACGGTCCCCAACGCCGGAGGGAACGCGGAGTCCGCGCCAACGAACACACGTGCGTCTGTGTACGTGACTGATTACATCCACCTCTGGGTGCAGGGGAGGAAAATTACACCGACCTTTTCTACAACATCACCTGTTTTATGTTTAAAAGCTACCTCCACTGGAAACAGGGTGCGAGTGTCTGGCCAACACAGGCCACCAGAAACCATCCATCCACCGACCCCCGGACCCGAAACCCACTACAGACCGCCGGCGCGAAGGCTACGCGATAATCCCTAACCCGGGCGGTCAGGCTCGGGCGTCTGCAGCTTTCGGCCACGGGCCGTCCGCTCCACTCCAGGACCTAAGAGGTAAACCCCAGCCTCTGAGTCCCTAGAACAGAAATTCGCCTCCTTCCTCGACGCGCACAGCGTCCGGACCATTCCGGACCCCGGGGCGGGCAAGCAGCTGCGAACCTCGGGGCACCGGCCCCCGCACTCACCCGAAGTGCCGCGGCCCCCGGCTAGCGCTCCACGTTCCCAGCGCCGGGTGCCAGACCAGACACACACCTGCGGCCGGCCGCAGGTGACCGCCGGGAGAGGGGCTAGAGCTCCGAGCGCCCGCCCGCCCGGCTCCGCCCCTATTGCTCAAAGGAGGAGGGCGGGGGCGGAGAGCCGGACCCCTCGGCCCCGGCTGCGGCCCGCTAGCCGCCTGGTGCCAGGAAGTGCGGGCGTCCGCGGCCGGCTGCCTCTGAGCGCGCACCGCCCGTCGCGACCCCGGCGGGAGGCTGGCCGGAGGGGCGCCGCCTGCCGGCGGGGCGGCGACAAACGATGGAAGCCGCCACCCCGGATCCGTGGGAGAGGGGTAGAGGATGGGGAAAGCTAGAGCCTCCCGGCATTTAGTGAGACCCCCTGCCGTGTACCAGGCCTGAGATCCCAGCCCCAACCTAAGGAGCATCTGTGCCCCCGGTAGGGTGGGCAGGGCCATTGGCAGTTGTCTCCGGATGAAGGTCCATGCAGGGTGACAGAACCTGAAACATTCATGGCACTAAGCAAAGCCTGCAGCACTATGAAGTCAGTTTTATATGAAAATCCGCACATAGCACATTTGCAAGCAGCACAATTATACTGCTTGTCTTTTTTTTCATCAACCATGGTGCTAAAACGTTGTATTTATTCAACAACTATTTGTTGAACACCTACAACTTCCCAGTCGTCTGAACGTTTAAAATGGGGCACAATTTCCTCCCCCTTTTCATGCAGAACCTTTACCGAGGGGAGTTGCCTGGGCCTTTTTTAACCCCTCAGAAAGCCTGGACTGGCTGTGCAAGGAATCTAATAAACGCCCACCAGAGGGTGCAATAAGAACCGAGCGTTGGTAGAAGCGTTAAATGTGCGCTGCTGAGGACTTGCCCAGAGAATTCCTGAAGGCGAGAGGTGAGCTGGTGTAGTGAAGAACTACAGGATTCACCAGACTGTGAGGTGGTTCAGCCGCGATTCCACCGTGAGCAAAGCCAGAAGCCGAAAGCTGGGCAAGGGTGTGCACGTTCAGTTAGAGGAAAGGCATGTGAGTCAGTATAGCTGAGGAGGAGAGGACGTGAGCTGAGTTAGAGAGGGAGCGTGGGGGGCCAGATTATGTTCCTAGCAAAAATAACAGCCGCTATCTATGGAGTGCGTATAAAACAGGAGCTGGACACGCATCACTTCAAACTAGGCTCACACCAGCCCTACAAGGTACGGTTATTACTCATCCAAGAGGAAAATGAAGACTTGCTAGCGACGGGGCTGGGAAGAGGGGACTCTGAGGGGCTAGCCTCACTCTTACTGACACTTTCCAGGCTCATCCAGGAGGCTGAATTTGTCTTCAGATGCTCCCAGCATCCCCAAGTATCCTCGAGTGCCTACTGCTCTCTCTCCATCCCCAAAGCTTGAGTTAACAACTGCCCCAGACCTCGCCTGTCTAGAAAAGGTTCGGAGCACAGGACTGTGCACATCAGACCCCTTCCCAAGGGGAACCCTGTCTGAGGTCTATGGCGGGACTGAGACAGAGCTCTCGGTTGTTCCCCAATGTCTATTCTCTTCTTCCATAGTAACAGAATTGAAGCTGAGCCCAGGGCTGCTCAGAACATTTCCTTGCGTCTCTTGCGCCAAAACTCATCAACAGTGTTGCCCTGAGCCCATAGAATCCACTAGATCCGGCAGCACTTCTAAGGTCACTGTTCCTCCCCCAGCTTCCTTGTTCTGTGTGATATTCTTCATGGGGCAGAATTGCTCTCTGCCTTCTTGATACCCATTTCTTCTACGTTTCTGAGAGTACCCAGAGTTTGTTCAGGGAGGCGGTCTGTAGCGCGAAGAGCGCGCATCTTCCCAGAGGGCCTCGCGCGGCGGTCACGTGACTTGATTCCGGCCAATGAGATGTAGGAGGAAGTCGGCTTGCGGGTCCTGAGAACGTGTTACTGTTTAGGACCCTCGCGCAGTTGTACCCCTTTCCTCCTGTTTCTCTCTGGCTGTGAGGTGGTTGTGAAGTTGGAGGGGGTGCAGCTGTTTTATGGCCACAGAGCAACACACTAGCAAAAGGAGGAGCAGCACTTAAGACATGAGGAAAATAATTCCTTTACGTTTAAAAAGAAATGTTTTAAGGTTTACTTATTTTTGAGAGATAGAGCCTTAGCGAGGGTGGGGTGGGCGGCAGGGAGAGAGGGAGACACAGAATCTAAATTCATGACCTGGGCTGAAGTTGGCTGCTTAAGGGGCTGAGCCACCCAGGCGTTCCCACCCCCTCGCCCTTACTTGTTTTAAGTTCTCTCTGCCAGGGTTTGTTACAAACAATTGAATACAGTCCTAATGGATACATTATTCTTTCCAAAGAAAAGCCTCAAAAATCGATCCTGATTGATAGCCTACCCGATATAGAGTATTCGAGCCGAAAGAGGATGGGTTTTGGTATGAGACAATCAACAGTCCAAGTATGAGTTTCCCCTCTTTTTTTTTTTTTTTTTTTTTAAGCTAATGACTGGGCAAATTTGTGCATTTAGTTTATGTATTGTAAAATTAGAAGTTGTAATAAAAACACAAGACGCAGTGCCTGGCATATGGTGTGTGATTAATAAATGATCATTGATATAGTTCTTATCTAATAGTTTTTAGCCTCCACCAGATGGATGGATACCTAGCCTTATGTCAATTCACAATCACATATCCACTTTCCAGTTTCACTCCTAGACAAATCTTTTTACCTATTCTGATCTTTTTTTTTCTTTTTTTAATTTTTTAAATGTTTATTTCTGAAAGAGAGACAGAGCATGAGCAGGGGAGAGGCAGAGAGAGAGGCAGAGACAGAATCTGAAGCAGACCCCAACATGCGGCTCAATCCCACAAATGGTGAGATCATGATCTGAGCCAAATCAGACACTTAAGGGACTGAGCCACCCAGGCGCCCTAAACCCTTGATCTTAGATGTTTTGTAACAAACACAATCTTAAAGTTTCAGTACAAACCATCATTTGTCTTGTATCTTGTTTCCTCAATTTCTAGATTATATCTGCTGTACCAAAAAAAAAAAATTTTTTTTTTAAAGAATAGAGGGACACCTGGCTGGTTCAGTCAGTAGAGGAAGCCACTCTTGATCTCAGGGTCATGAGCTCAGGCCCTCCTTTGGACATAAAGTCTACTTAAAATAAATGAAAAAAATTTTTAATTAAAATGACAGAATTGTGTGCTTTGTAATGACTAGTCATGAATTACTGCTACCCAATTTTTACAAATACAGGTGCATATTTCTGTTTGAATCTTTTTTAAAATAAGAAACTTTAATTTCAATGCTTCTAAGTTCGCATTTTTAATTCCCAAACAAGATGTTTTCATGGTCCAATAACATGCTTTTGTTGAAACTATATCATATCCCTCTTTGCTGAAATTGAATAGCATTAAAAATTAGTATTATTCACTTAGATTTTTAGTTTAAAAAGTACACATACTTTCAACAGCAGTTTTTAAGTTAAAAAAAAAAAGTACTGTAATTTTATTGCGTAATCATTTAACCCGCCTTCTATTTCTAGACATTTGCATTGTTTTTAGTTTCTCTCAATTACAAACAACTGAACATCTTTGTTCCTATACTTTGGCCAATTCCTGTAAGCTGACCATGTCTCCCCACTCCACTGTTACCTCCCCACCCCACCAACTCCAAGCCACTAGCCACCTTTTATTGTATTATTGGAATAGCCTTCTGAACAGCTCCCTGTAGTTTCCCTTGCCTTCCCTCAATCCATCTACAACACAGTAACTAGAAGAGTCAGGTTAAAATGTAGGTCAGATATTATCCCTCTCTGCTCAAAACTTTCCAGTGGTTTCCTTCTCATTTACAGTGAAAACCAGTCCTTACAATGGCCTATAAAGCTATACTGTCTGCCCCCAATGCCATTACCTTTCTGAACCATCTCCTTCCATATTCCACTTTGTTCCAGCCATACTAGGTTCCCTGTGGCCTGTTCTTTATGTGCCAGGTACACTTCTGCCGCAGGGCCTTTGCACCTGCCATCTCCTCTTTTTGTAACTTTCTTCCAAATACCATATGATTTAATCTTCTACTTCCTTCGAGTCTTTACTCACATGAGTGTCTTCCCTGAGCACAAATTATCAAGTGCCTGATACCTTCTGGTTCCCTTTCTTGGCATTCTCCTTTCCCCATAGCACTTTTCACCTTCTAACATATTGTATCTTTGAAGTGTTTACCTTCTTTACTGTTTTCCCTCCACTTTTCCACCTCAGAGTGTGAGCTCCAAGAGGGTAAGGATTTTATTTTACTTTGGTTTTTTTTTTGAGAGTGGGGATTTATTTAGTTTATTGCAGTATCTTCAGCAACTAGCAGTTTTTTAGTAGTGAACGTTGTGTTTAAGTATGTATGATATAGGTTCCTAGAAGAATAATTTTTGGGTCACAGGGATTTATGTTTAAATTTTTAATCAGCACTTCCAAATTGCCCTTTCAAAGGTTGGAACAACATTCCTACCCAACTGACCAGTGGTTTCCCCATCACACTCACCTCTGTGACCACATACTTGTCTGTCTTTTTTTTAGTAAGTTATTATTAATTAATTAATTAATTAGAGACAGAGACAGCATGAGTTGGGGAGAGGCAGAGAGAGAAGGAGAGAAAGAGAACACCAAGCAGGCTCCATGCTGCCAGTGCAGAGCCCAACTCAGGGCTCAAACTCATGAAACCAAGAGATCATGACCTGAGTCAGGAGTCAGACACTTAACCAACTGAGCCACCCAGGTGCCCCTCTTTCTTTCTTTTTTTTTAATGCTTATTTATTTACTTTGGCAGAGAGCGCCAATGCGGTAGAGGCAGAGAGGGGGGGAGAAAGAGAATCCCAAGTAGTCTCTACACTGTCGGCACAGAGCCTAATGAGGGACTCAATCCCACGACTCTTGGATCAAGACTCAAACAAAACTCAGGAGCCAGACACCCAACTGACTGACCCACCCAGGAGCCTGCATACTTGTCTTTCTTAAATGCTGTGTGAAGGGCTCTAAAGTCTCTATGACAAACAACAGAATCCACTCTAGCTAATTTAAGCAGAAAAATAAATATTTTAAAGGGAACCTCACACAACCTCTGGGCAGACCAGAGAGCCAAGTGCACGGTTGCAGACAGGAATGATGTCCATATGCTCCGATGAATGCCTCACTGCTGGTGTCTCTG